CCAGGGATTGAGCTTGGGACCTTGTGCTTACGAGGCAGGTGGCGGAACCACTGAGCTAAATCCCTGGCCCCTTAAGATTTTTTTTTTAAAAAAAACTTTTTCAGAGTGTGACAGAGGGCTTCTGGGAAGATGATGGAGCAGTAAACAGCAAACAAATCAACCTCTCCAAGATTTGGAATTCAGACACTGGAAAATAACAACTAGAGGGAAAAAAAACAGAGGGAGGTGGATCTCCAGGACCCAGGAAGGATATGAAGGGAAAATTGGAACCCACAGAAGAAAGTGAAGAGACAGATCACAATGCAGAAAAAGGGGACAAACTGCACTTTCTCCCTGGCTCCTGGCTCGGAGAGGAGGATCAAAGTGACACAGTGAGGATGAGTGACTCCAGAGACCTCGAAGGAGAAACACACCAGTGGAACAGTGGGCTACAATAGCTGGTGAATGACTCCAGTCTAAGCACCTACTGTGTCCCTTGGAGAGGGTACTTGGCCAGATGCCATTTTAGAGAGGGGCCAACTGAACCTGGGACTCAGAGCAGCCATGGGTTGGCTTCATCTTAGGGCTCTCAATGTTGAAATCCCACAGTGACTGGGTGAGGGATAATCAAGTCCAGGGTTAGGAAGCCACATTCAGGCCAGCAAGAGACACCCAGAGTGTTGTGGGCTGGAGAACTCAGGCCCCACCCCAACAACCAGGGGCCAGGATCAGCCTCAACTTTTGTGGAGTTGAAAGTACCAGAATCAGCACACTGCCTTGACTCTACTGAGTGCTTGCAGGGATCATCCAGCATGGATTTGGACTCTGTCAGCCTCCTTTGTCTACCAGTAACATCAGAGCCATGTCCTAAATTGGACACTACCACAAAACTGTAGACCCAGAAATTAACCACAGACTTGAAATCACAGAGACATCTCTCTTTTTTTCATGGCTTTTGGTTCTTGTTGTTGTTCATTTGCCTTTTTTCTTCATTGTTTTTGTCTTTTTATGAGTGCAAACATTATTTTTAATTTTTTTGTTTTGTTTTGTTCTTTTTTCCTTCTTTCTTTTCTGTCTTCTTCACCAGTTCCCTGGAGCTTGGATAATCTTCCTTTGTCCTTCAGCCTTGCTTCTGATCACTTTCTCTTCTTTTATATATCTATTTTTTCCTTTTATTACTTTTAAATTTTCTCCCCTGAGGGTAAAATTGCTCTATTGAGTAGATAATTACTGTATATGCAGGATACACATTCTTTTCAGCAGGACACAGACTTCTCCAAAAGAGACCACATACTAGCTCATAGAACATGCTTAAGTGAATGCAAAGGAACTGAAATTATCCCATGGCTATCAGATCATAGCTCAATGAAACTGGAAATCAATGGCAAAAGAAACCTCAAAAACTACACAAACATGTGGATATTAAATAACACCCTCCTGAACAACCAATGGGTCACAGATGAAATTAAAGAAGAAAATTAGACAGTTCCTACAATTAAACAGTAATGTCAATACAACATACTGGAACCTATGGAATGTAATGAAAGCAGTCCTATGAGGGAAATTTATAGTGGTGAATTCCCATACCTAAAAAAAACAGAGGGGACCAAGGATTTAGCTCAGTGCTGCTGCCTGTCTCATAAGCGCAAAGTCCCAAGTTTGATCCCCGGTACCAAAACCAAAAAAACAACAAAACAAACAAACAAACATTCAAAAAAACCCAGAGCGAGCTCAAATAAATAACCTAATGTTGAACCTCAAGCTTCTAGAAAATAAGAGCAAGTTAAACCCAAAGCATATATGAGGGAGGAAATTATAAAGACCAGGGCAGAAATTAATGCAACTGAGATTAAGAAAATAATACAAAAAATCAATGAATCAAAGAGTTGGTTCTTTGAAAGATTAAATAAAATCAACAAACTCTTAGCCAACCTTATCAGAAAAGGAAAAACTCAAAGTCAGGCAATTAGGAATGAAAAGGGTAAAATCACAGCAGATCCTGCAGAAATCTAGAAGATCATCAATATCTACTTCAAGAACTGTAGTCTAGGGGCTGGGGATTTAGCTAGGTGGTTCTGCCACCTGCCTTGTAAGCACAAGGCCCTGAGTTTGATCCCTGGTACTAAAAGAAAAAAAAAAAAAAAAAAAAAGAACTGTAGTCTAATAAGATGGAAAACTCAGAAGAAATGGACAGATTCTTAGATATATATGAATTACCAAAGCTGAATCAAAAAGATATAAAAATTATAAATAACCCAGTGTCAGTCAATGAAATTGAAGAAGTAATTTTAAAACTACCAACAGAGAAAAGGCTAGGTGCTGACAGATTCACTGCTGAATTCTTCAAGAACTTTAGAGAAGAGGCACTCTTTAATGAAATTGAAAGGGAAGTAATACTCCCAAATTCATTCCTGAAAGCAAGTATTACCCTGATACCAAAACCAGAGAAGGATCCTACCAATCAAATAAAGAAATACAGGCCAGTCTCCTAAATGAACACAGATGCGAAAATCCTCAATAAGATATTGGCAAACAGAATGCAGCAAATCATCAAGATTATACACCAGGAACAAGCAGGATACATCCCAGTGATGCAGGGATGATTCAACATATGCAAATCAATAAATGTAATATACCATATTAACAGAACCAATGACAAAAACCACACGATCATCTCAATAGATGCAGAAAAAGCATTGACAAAGTCCAACACCCATTCATGTTTAAAACCCTACAGAAAATTACAAAATTTTGCCAAATGCTTCTGTTTGTGAACCAAATTGTTTGCAAACAGAAGCATTCATGAATTGAGGTATCACTGTGGTTATTCCCTTTTATTGCTGAATTATGCCACTGTATGGTTAGATAGAACCATTTACCTGTTGAGGAGAATTTAGGTTGTTTTGGGTTATTACAAATAAATCATTTATGTATAAGAAAAAAATCGCTGGGTGTGGTGGCACATGCCTGTAATCGAAGCACTCGGGAGGCTGAGGCAGGAGGATGGCCACAAGTTCGAGGCCAGGTTGGGCTATACAGCGAGTTCAAGACCATATTGAACTACATAGTGAGACCCCGTCTCAAAATACCAAAAAAAAAAGAAAAAAAAATCCTTTCGTAAGTCCAGCCAGCTTTTTCTGTTACCTTTCTATGTCCTCTCCTAGATCCTGCAATTCTCTGGTCCAAAGCAAACTGCTGTCTTCTTTATTACTGTCAGTTTCTTGTTCTTCCAAATGCTTTGGATCTAAAAACAGTTGAAAAAAAAGTAACTTTATTAGAATGAAAAAAATTACCGGGCATGGTGGCGCTTGCCTATAATCCTAGCACTAGGGAGGCTAGGCAAGAGGATTACTGCAATTTCAAGGCTAGCCTGGGCTATATACTGAGTTCAAGGTCAGCCTGAATTACACAGTGTGACCTTGTCTCAAAAAACAAAACAAACAAACAAAAAAAACCCAAACAAAAAGAATGAAAAAAATTGAAAAAGTCTGTCTTATAAAATGGAGTACAAAAAATAAGGTGATCAGTGGTCCCTGAAGTATATAATGCACCAGCTCCCTTCTTCCCATGATATGCAGTTTTCAGACACCTGTATTCACAGAAGCTGCCTCTGGGGTGTTGGGAGCTCTTTGGTGCTAGGTGAAGCAGAGGAAGCAGAGGAAAGAAAGGGCACACAAAAGAGGAGGCAAGAACTCCTGAAAATGAACTGCATACATTTACTTCAGGTGACCATCCTCTTTCACTTCTCAAATGTTTCTAGGTTGGAGCCCGAGGGAGGAATTTGTATAGGGAGGAGAAGTACCCTTTAATGTATGCCAAGCATTTCACATATGCCATTTCATTTCATCCAGCAGTCTTATGTAGGGAAGGGGACTAATTTTGCTGAGTACTTTGGCAAATTAATACTAACTTTAGCAAATTAATATTAATATATCAATTTGCTATTTTACAATGTACCAGGCACTGTTCATGGAGCTATGATATACATTATGAGATAGAACTTAACTCCATTTTACAGAAAAGAATGACTGAGACTTAGAGACATTAAACACTTTGGCACATAAAAGTAATTGGTGGGCCAGGGATTTAGCTCAGTGGTGCCACCTCCTGCCTCATAAGGATCCTGAATTCAATCCCCAGTACCAAAAAAAAAAAAAAAAAGAAAAAAAAAAGTAATTGGTGCAGCCTGGGCTATATAGTGTGATCAAGACTAGGGCCGGGGATTTAGCTCAGTGGTTCCGCTGCCTGGCCCACAAACGCAAGGTCCCAAGTTCGACCTGTGGTACCCCCCAAAAAACAGACTAGCCCAGATTGCATAGTGAGACCCTATCTCAAAACATTTCCTTCCCCCACTAAAAAGTAACAGTGGAGTCAGAATTGAGGTGAGACTGTACCTTACCCAAGGTCACATTTCCCCTGTGTACCACTATGCTGCCAAGGACAGCATGACAGCAGTATGAGACGAAAAGGGTCTGGGTAGTAGCTTACCATCTGCAGTGACGCTGGGATGATGTGCTGTGTTCCCATGCAACACCATGGATGAGGCCTGCTGCTGCTTCAGTTGCTCTGTCACAGTACAGAAGCAGAAGCCAACTTATTCCTCCTTTGCATGTCACACCATTCCCTAGGGCGGTGGTTCTCAAAGGGTGGCCCTCAGCCCAGCACCACTGGCACACCCAGGAACTTATCAGAAATGCAAATGCCTCATCCCAGACCTACTGAACCTGGAAACTCGGGCAGTGTGGGCAATCTGGGTTTTATCAAGACCTTCAGGTGATTCTGATGCCATTGAGGACTACTGCTATTTGGAATTCCAAGTTTGAAAGAAACTCTTCAAGTAAGACAAAAATGAATGTTGATTCATGAAAGAAAAATGATGAAGGATGATGATGAAGACAGGTAACACAGAGCCAATGTGGCAGGTACTACGGCTAAGCACTTATATTCATTAATTTAGGATTTATGTTCACAATTTTCACAATAGCCCTATGAAATTGACTCCACTATTGCTAATCTTGTTTTTTTTTTTGTACCAGGGATCAAACTCAGGTCCTTGCGCTTACACAGCAGGTGGTGAAACCACTGAGCTAAATCCCCGGCCCTATTAATCCTGTTTAACAGATGAGGAAATGAAGGTTAGAAACTTGGCTAGAATTACAGAGAGTAAGTGGGAGATTGGGATTTGAATCCAAGCAGACTACCCCTAAACTTTATGCTTCTAACCTCTATTAAAAATCTTTTTTTGAGACAGGGTCTTGCTATGCAGTTCAGGCTGGCCTTGAATGTACTATGTAGCCCAGGCTGTCCCCAAACTTGTGATGATCCTCTTCCCTCAGCCTCTCAAGTGCTGTGATTAGAGGCATGTGCCACCTCACTCGGCATCCTAATCTCATTTACCACTCCCTCAAAAAGTCTGTAACACCAGAAAAATCCAAATGTTCCCCTATATCTACTGGTGTATACAACACACCTTTTACCTGGCCTGTAGCAAAACACAGGCAAAGAATATTCATCATTCCAGTTCCTCAAAAGTGCTCACTAGAGCAAGACAAGTATCTGCTAAAATCAGGTGTCCAGTTCCCTCCAAGTGCTCCCCAGGACAGAGCAGAGACAGGTGGAGGGAGCACAGGCAGGGCACCCTGAGCTCACTGGCATGGCCCTGTTCTGGGCAGCTACAGCTCTGCCCCCTTCCTGGCAGTTCTTGGTTGTCAAGGGACCTGTAAGACCATTTAATATAATTCGAAATAGAAAATACACTTTATCCTTATTAAAATAGTCTTGGCTGCTTTTAAATAAATATACACATCCTAGAATTCTAAAACAGCTTTTTCTTTAGGTCCTTGTCAGGAGACCAGAGCTTCTGATGGATGTGGGCCCTCTAAAAGAGCAAGTCATTCCCCAGATGTCTCTTTAGGGAGAGCAGTAGAATGGTGACACAGAATAATCAGGTAAGTAGGCCCAGGACCAGGAGAAACTACTCAAATGCCCTCTATTCTTTGTCTTTCTGGAAAATTACTGGCCCAAAGTGCAGACATCACCCAGAAATCTGGCCCAGATAACTGCAGTAAGTGGAATGAGAAAATGCTTCTGCACAGTGCCACAAGGCCATAGACCAGAAAGAAGCCTGGTGGGCTGGAGTGGGGAAGGTGAAGGAGGATTCACACGTGACTAGAGACAGGTCAACAGGATCCAGAGGAAAAGTGTCTGCTACTATCAAACCACAAAGTTTACAAGTACTGTGCCAAAAGCCATGGCTAAGGAAAAATGATACCAAGAATCTACCTGAGCAGAACATGTATTGGCGTGACCTCCACTCTCAATAGTTCTATTATTTAAAAGCAACTGGACAGGAGGAATTTGTGAGGACTACCTCTGGAGTGCTAGAGGTAGAATGCAGGGGTGGGGGTGTTGGCTCTTAGAGCCTGACCCAACAACCCTGTGGCACTGGGGTAAGAAAGGGTCTATAGGACTGTGGGTGTAGGTCAGTGATAGAGTGGTTGTCAAGCATGCACGAGGCCCTGAATTTGATCCCCAGCACAGCAGGAAAAGGAAAAGAAATGAAGGAGATAGGGGTGATGGTGGGGAGGTAAGAGAACAGAAAGGGACTTTTCAGAAAAAGAACGAAAATGAGGAAGGTTCTGGAAGCTATGGCTGGTTCCACCCAAATTCACCAGGCCAATGAACAGAGACTGAGGGTTATAATAAGGGGCCTACAGGACACCTGTCCCTTGAATCAGATCTCTTAGTCTTTATTCCTTATGAGACACAATTTAATAGACCTTGAAAACCGTATGTAAATCTCAGGATATTCTCTGTATGGCTATCAGGGAAAGGGCTAAAAATGAGAGTAGGCGAAATGCAAGTGTTCATTGAAATGACCTTGGTTGCTGCCTTTCTGCAGAGAAACTGGCTATTTCTCCTGGGAAAGAAATGTTATGTACAGATAGCCTTGTGTGCACTGTGAGTGTCCTTGGTTTTAGCCAGACCCAAGACACTCTGCTCTAAGACATGCAGGACTGCTGGCACCAAGCTACTTTTGTCTGAACACAGTACTTAAGAAATTAACAATCAGGGTACTGTGTTGGCATTTTGTCTCTCGCCTGCCGAAGGCTCTGTCTCATGCAAGATCCTTCCCCAGGTGATTCCCCTTCATCTTTTGGTACTGTCTCCTGCCTTGTTGTGTGGTAATGTATTATTGGATTATGTTCGTATCTGCTGTACTTTTATAATAAACTCACTTTCATGTGTATAAAATCATGATGTGGATCTTCTCTGTTGGTGCAGATCTGAACCTGAACTTTCTGTGGCCACATACATGAGGCTCCTTGCTGTTACAATGCTCCATAGCAAGAACTGAACCACTATAGTACCAGTGAGAACTGTCCTCTATGGGTGAGGGGCTGGTCTGCACCGCTGCTGTGGAAGCAGACCACTGGATCCCGTATTTCTCTAGAACCAGGCACCATTACTTTCAGCACTGGCCTAGCTGCAAATTAAATTGAGTTGATACTGTTCAGTCTGTCTGAAAATTCTGGTCTCATCAGCTTTTGTGCCATTGATTTCCTGCTCTGAGCAAAGGGATTTATCCACAATTTCTATACCTTTAATACCTCCTACTATTGGTAAAATTTAAGTACAAGTTCTTGGTCTGAGTTGCCAGATCTTAGGGCTCCAAGGAATGGCTGGTTTGGTTAGAAAAGGAGATGAGTTCCTTTAGTAAAACAAATTTATCATAATAAGCCATTTGAATGCTGTTAATTCGACTTCATTACCATGAGGTCTTTAAGTAACTAAAGGACAACAGACCAAGGGCCAATTATGCCAGCAAGGCAGTGCCTCATTTTACTAGAAAACTTCCCTGTCCTAAATTTTATAAAACCAGACTTTTGTAGGGTCTTTTATACCACAGCTCACACCTCAGACAAAGAAACTGCATGGTGAGGCTGGGGATGTAGCTCAGTGGTAGAGGACTTGCCTAGCCAGAGGGAGGCTCTGGGTTTTGAAAAATAAACAAACAACAACAAAACCCCAATAGCCATCTGGTAGTGAGCAACCATAACCAAAAGGGACAGGAGTGTATTTTGTATTGTATGAACATCCATTACCGATTTCTTCAAGCAGCTCCTGAGATGGTGCCGGTAGTTCCTCAATTTGCTGCTGTGAGATGGCTTCCACTAATTCTTAAAGAAGATAAATGGGAAAATGACTTAATACCTTTCAGGACTTGAACTGGATTTTTCTAGCCCCCTCATGAACTTGACAGAGGATTTCTCAATGATGAAATAAGCTATAAGGGGAAGGAAATTTCTCATATGACAGTCATACTAGTAACCTCCTAATATTTGTTTGTTTGGTACTGGGGATCGAACTCGGGTCCTTCTGCTTGAGGCAGGTGCCAGAACCACTGAGCTAAATCCCCGGCCCTACCTCCTAATATTTGAATGGTCTTTACTCCCTCCTCTCATCTCACTTACCCTCCTACACTTGGTCGGTGTTCTCCCTATGGATATCTGAAGTAGGGAGGGTACAAATTGTTACTAAGAGGGTGGATCCAATCTGGATCAGATACAGAGGTTCTGGACCAGCCAAACTGAACAAAAATACAAACTGGAAGGTCTTCATCTATAGATTATCTATCAGGCCAGGGGACGCAGACACAACTATACTTTGGGTCTTAGCATGAATATTCTTTTTTTTGTGGGGGGGAGGAGAGTTTGAGTACATAAAACTCAGTAACACTGGTATTTACTTGCAAATGTCACTTAAAAGTTATAGGTGTGAAGAAACAGTTTAAAATAGTATATAAATTTTCATCATGTATCTATGATACAAGTTTTTTTCTTTTAACAAAGTTTTCATGTCATACACCTTATGGGAAAAAATTAAAACGTGATATATATATAAAGTATGATAAAAATTATCTTTTCAGATCATATCTTTTCCTTAAAATCTCCAGGTATTCTTGTGATGTTTCTGAAATTAGAACTTGGCTTGATTTATTAGCAGATCTTGTGGGAGAAACTTTAAAGAATCCAGATTCAAGTTCAGCAATAGTTTCTCTTACTTCTCTAGCTATACTTTTGTCCAACTCTTGCCACATCTTGGTCGGGTAGCTCTCCATGCTATTGTTTGAAGGCTGTGGGTTTAATGGAGGAACTAGGAAGTTTCTTCTCTGGGAAGAAAATTTCTCTGGAACACCAAACTATGATTAAGATTTCTGACACAAGGACATTCTAGGACAGGTCTTGTACTAACAGTGCTCAGTAATGATCTGTTTTGTTGTTGCTCCACCAAAAGTTTGTTATTGGCCTCTTCTAGACTCTCATTAGCCTTGTTTAGTTTACTGAACAATGACTCTCTTCTAATGAATTCTTCTAGATAGAGTTGCCTATAGTTTTCCAATTGTATTTTATTGGACTCTTCTTGAGTTTTCATTTTAGAGACCTCTGATTCCAGGTCTGTAATTCTTTTTTTTTTTTTCTTTTGGTACCGGGGGGATCAAACTCGGGTCCTTGCACATTTGAGGCAGGCGGCAGAACCACTGAGCTAAATCCCCAGCTTCAGGTCTGTAATTCTGAGTTCCATCTGACTTCTCATGGAAGCATTATTTAGTCTCTGTTAATTGTTGTAAATATTCTTGAGATGCTGCTTGTCTCTGTACAAACAGATTGACTTCTTTTAATTTTTCTACTAATTTCTGCCTGGCTCTTTCTTCAATCTCCTGCTTATACTGTTCTACTTGGCCATGTTCTACCACATTCTTTTCTATGTGACTTCTCAGGTTAACTACTTCTTCTTCCAGCTTTTCATTCTTCTCTACTGTTTCACACTTCTTTTGTATACTTTTCATAGATAATAACTCCTGCTGGAGAAAATCATTATTTCTATCCAGATGGAGACATCTGGATGATGCAGTTTCCAGTTTTGCTGCAAGATCATTAACACAGTTAGCTCTTTTTTGTAATTTACCATTTTTCTTCTTTTCTTCATCCAAAGTATATTCCAGATATTCTGTTAACTCGGTAAGTTTCTTTAATCGTTTTTTATCACCTTCAGAAGTTTGCAGAGGTTTCAGTTCATAGTTGGCTGGCTCCAAGACAGGATGGCATGGCAGAGGGACATCGCAGAGGATGAATGTTCTATTATAATGTAACTAAAACCTTTTAGAATAACTCAAAGGCTGTGTGTGGTGGCGTACGCCTGTAATCTCAGCATTTGGGAGCCTGAGGAAGGAGGACTGCCATGAGTAGGAAGCCAGCCTTGGCATACCGTGATTTTAAGGCCAGCCTGAACCACATAGCAAGACACTGTCTCAAAAAATACCAACCAACCAACAAGCAGTTCAGAACTGATATTCAATATGGTAACAACTACGATAAATATTTTTATATAGTTCCAAAACCATGAAAAAATAAGCATCAAAATATGCATAAGGTAAAAAATGGTCAGGCTAATTTTCTTTTTTTGTTTTGTTTTGTTTTGAGACAGAGTCTCACTGTGTAGTTCAGGCTGACCTTGAACTCACTACGTAGTCCACATTGGCCTCAAGCTTGTGGCAATCCTTCTGCCTCAGCCTCCTGAGTGCTGGGATCACAGGTGTGTGCCACCACACACTTTTCTTTTTAAGCCTTTCTTGAGCCTCCAGATTTTCTCTGATGAGTGTTCTTTACTTTTATAAGCAGGAGGAAAATAGCAAATCTGTTTGAAATGAATATAGCATCAGTGATTATCAAGCACGAGTTTAGGCTTCCTTAAACTGGCTTATTAGTATCAAGTTCAATTTTAATATTAAACACAGGGCACCTTTAGGCATGTTCTTTCTTTGGAAGACATGGGTTGATGAATCAGATGCTAGTGCAGGACTTAAGAATTACATATGTTTAGAGCTGGGGATTTAGCTCAGTGGTTCTGTCGCCTGCCTCTCAAGAACAAGGTTCCAAGTTCGATCCCCAGAACCAAAAAAAAAAAATTACATATGTTTAAGTACAGGATACTATTTATAGTTGAGAATGTTTCTGTACTAAATTCAGTAATGCTTAGAGTACAGCGTAGACTCTGCATTTGCAAGTCTCTACCACTGCAATTCTAGCCAAAAGCTCCTAATAGCTACTGTATCATCACCACCACCAGCACCTCTATATGGTTGCCTATGGGATTGTCCCCTCCAACTTTGGTCCAAAGTTGCTCTGGTAGAAAACTCATCAGGTGTGATCTCTGGTCTGTGCATGGTTACCTGGGCCGAGCGGAGTGCTGACACTAGTAGGTGTGTGGCTTACTTTGGGTGTTTCACATGAGGTTTCCTTAAAAAAGCCATCTGGTTCATAGGAGATACTAGACAGATTTTGAATGTCTGTCAATGATCTAAGGAATGAAAATACACAGTAACTGTGAGAAGAGGTTTAGAAAAATTGAATAATATCTTCCTGAAAGGAACTTTAAACTATGCTTTTCAAAAAATCTTTTTGGCAACAGGTCAAAATTAGAGTACATAAAAATTTTTTTAAAATTTAAAATAAATTAAGAGTACATCTTAGAATTTTGTGAAGCGAATACTAGAAAATATCTTAAAAAGAGATACTAAGTGTATATATATCCTGGCAGCTAAAAAGAAACTATTTCCATAGATAAAAAGATATTTATGGGGGCCGGGGATTTAGCTCAGTGGTTTCACTGCCTGCTGTGCAAGCACAAGGACCCGAGTTCGATCCCTGGTACCAAAAAAAAAAAAAAAAA